ATTTCTCGGGCTTGGGACCTCAGAATTTGATTCCGGGCACACGCACAAGTCCCATATTTTTATACGGACCCTCCGGGACCGTCGAATCACAGGTCCGAGTCCGTTTACCCAAAATGTTGACCGAAGTCAACATTATGCATATTAATACCAAAATTCATCAAATGTTTCACATAATTCACATATTCTAACATCAAAACTTTCCGGCTACGCGCCCGAACTACGACGCCAATCGAGGCAACTAAAGGCGAGGTTTTCAAGGCCTCGAAAGCGCGAAACAAGGAAGAGCTACGGTGATGACCCTTCGGGTCGTCACAATTCGTACTGATAACGGTGGTAAATATTGTGGACCATTTGACGAATACTGCAAGCAATAGGGTATCAGACACCAGAAGACTCCTCCTAAGACTCATCAGCTTAATGGTTTAGCAGAAAGGATAAACATGACCTTGATGGAAAGAGTCAGATGTTTTCTTTCTGAAGCAAAGTTGTCGAATTTCATTTGGGGTGAGGCTTTGTTGACCGCCGCACATGTTATTAATCTATCCCCTGCGGTTGCTTTTCAAAGTGATGTTCCAAATAGAGTTTGGTATGTCAAGGATGTTTCCTATGACCACTTGAAAGTATTTGGTTGCAAAGCTTTTGTACATGTGCCTAAAGATGAGAGGTCAAAATTAAATGCTAAGACAAGGCAGTGCATCTTCATTGGTTATGAACTTGATGAGTTTGGTTACAGGCTATATGATCCAATTGAGAAGAAGGCCGTGAGAAGCCGTGATGTTATCTTCGTGGAGGATCAAACCATTAAAGATATTAACAAAGCGGAGAAGCTAAAATCTCCAAGTTCTGAACGTTTAGTTAATTTTGATCAAGTTCCTCATACAAATGCGAATGACGTTGGTGGGCTCAATGATGATGGTGATACCCAGAACCACATTCCAGATCAACATATTGATAGTGATGGTGATAACAATGCTAATGTTGATGAGGTAGATACTCCTACTTACGAAGTTGTGGACGAGTTAGATATTCCACTCAGGAGGTCTTCTAGACCTCGTACTCATTCCTCCCATTATTCACCCAATGAGTATGTATTACTCACTAATGGGGGAGAACCTGAATATTATGCGGAGGCCATAGAAGACGAGCACAAGGATCAATGGATTGAAGTCGTGCAAGATGAGATGAAATCTCTGCATGAGAACCATACTTATGAGTTGGTGAAATTGCCTAAGGGCATGAGAGCTTTGAAAAACAAGTGGGTGTTCAAAGTTAAAGCGGAAGAACATAGTTTGAAGCCTAGATACAAAGCTAGATTGGTTGTCAAGGGATTTGATCAAAGGAAAGGTATTGATTTTGACGGAATATTTTCTCCTGTCATGAAAATGTCCTCCATTCGGACAATTCTTGGTTTGACTGTCAGTCTTGATTTAGAGATTGAGCAGATGGATGTGAAGACTGCTTTTCTTTACGGTGACTTAGAAGAGGAGATTTATATGGAACAACCTGAAGGCTTCAAAGCAAAAGGTAAAGAAAATCTTGTATGCAAACTTAAGAAGAGTCTATATGGATTGAAGCAAGCTCCCAGACAGCGGTACAAGAAGTTTGAGTTTGTTGTGGGGGAGCAAGGCTACAAGAAAACTTCTTCAGATCACTATGTGTTTGTACAAAGATTTTATGATGATGATTTTATCATCTTCTTGCTATATATGGATGATATATTGATTGTGGGTAGGAATGCTTCCGAGATTGACGAGTTGAAGAAACAGTTGAATAAGTCTTTTGCAATGAAAGACTTGGGTCATGCTAAGCAGATTTTAGGCATGAGAACTACTCGTTCGAGAAATGAAAGAAAGCTTTACTTGTCACAGGAGAAGTACATAGAACGTGTACTGGAGCGCTTCAATATGAAAAGTGCTAAGTTGGTTCGCACACTCCTTCCTGGTCATCTGAAGTTGAGCAAGAAGATGTGTTCTACAACAATGGAGGAAAAAGAGAGAATGGCCCTATTCCTCTGCCGTCGGAAGTTTGATGTATGCAATGGTATGCACTCGACCAGATATTGCTCATGCAGCCGGTGTTGTTAGTAGATTCCTTGAAAATCCTGGAAAGGAACATTGGGAAGCAGTCAAGTGGTTACTCAGGTACCTAAGAGGTACTGTAGGAGATTGCTTGTGTTTTGGAGGATCTTATTCAATCTTTAAGGGCTACATGGATGCTGATATGGCAGGTGATCTTGATAATCGTAAATCTACTACGGGATACCTGTTCACATTTTCAGGGGGAGCTATCTCATGGAAGTCGAAGTTGCAGAAGTGTGTTGCACTCTCTACAACTGAAGTGGAGTATATTGCCACTACAGAAGCTAGCAAGGAGATGGTATGGGTAAAGCGGTTTCTTCAAGAGCTGAAATTACATCAAAAGGAGTATGTCATCTATTGTGATAGTCAAAGTGCAATAGACTTGAGCAAGAACTCCATATACCATGCAAGAACAAAACATATAGATGTGAGATATCATTGAATTCGTGAGCACGTGGAGAATGAATCTTTACAGGTCAAAAAGATTCACACGAGTTAAAATCCTGCGGATATGCTAACCAAGGTAGTACCAAGAGACAAGTTCGAGCTTTGCAAATAACTTGTCGGCATGCGCTCAAACTAGAATTTATGGTGTTACCTCCTTCAGGCGAATAGGACTGGAGGGAGAGATTTGTAGGGTCCATCCCATAAATCAAGGAAGATAATTTTCTTTCTTTGATTGGTAGCTACCATTTTTTCTTTTGCACTGTCAAATATGGTAGGCTGCAGAAGAAAAAGAAGTCAAGTTTGGTAGGCATAGTAAATCTGCAGGAGAGAAAAATGTCAAACATAGTAGGCGTGAGAGAGTGAGGTTCTGCCTATAAAAGGAGAGCTTCGACTCTCATTTCTACACACCAAAATCTCAGACAATACATCTGAGTGAGAGAAAGCAAGGTATTTCATAGACTATAAGAAAATAGTCTGTGAAGAAAAATAGAGTGTGAGAGATATTGTAGTGAGGTAGAAAAAGCAAAAGAGTGTTCTTTCTTTTGAGGTTGTAGTGATCTTAGGAGTATTTGTACTCGTTACTACACAGTGTAAAATTCCTCGTTGTATTGTTATCAGTTGCTCTTCTTGGCCGCGGTTTTTTCCCTTATTCAGAAGGGTTTCCACGTAAAATCTTGGTGTCATTATTGCTGTATTTCTATTCTTGTTGATTTAACCATAACTTAGTGTTCCACATTTATCACTAATACCGTGAATATTATTTTTACGGGGTTTATTTCCAACAATATTTAGTGCTGAGAAAAATAGAGAGGGGAAAGTTTTCTTTAACTTGGTCCATTTTAAGAAAAAGAAGGGGTGGTAACATTATACTTATACAGAATGAAGTTCATTGAACGCAAAAGCAATTAAGAGCAGATTGTCATTCTTCCACTATTATTAGGCTATGAATAAATTGTCACATAATGCTGTAAAGCAAGATAAACGTCATCTCAGGATAAAGATAAGTATCTATTGATGCTTATTCTTTTTCTTCTTCTTCTTGAATAGGCGGTAATCCTCTGTAATTCCATTCGTGTGCTTTCCATTCAGGAAGTTGTTGAATGACCATCTGCGCAAAAGAGATTTTAGATCGTATTATCCCAATATAATTAAGCATCAAAATATATATATCCATATTTAGTCCATACCATGCCTATAGAATCAGGTTTACCAACTATTGTCTGGCAAGCTAGCCTCCAATTCTTTGGATGCTGAAATATATAACAGATCAATATATTCTAATTAAATTGATGTTAAATTAATGTCTATAAAATGGAACAAGTGTGGATAAAAAAGAAAAAGTATACTGTTGTTAAGTAGTAAAACTGCTTAAGAAATGAATATTTCGTACCCGTTTTAAATCTTCGTGATTGTTCTCCTTGTCAGTACGAGGGTTTAGTAGCTCCTTTCCTTCAACAACCTGATCAATATTAATACAGGTACTATAAGATATATACTTTAAAACAATATGGGATATATAGGGACATAATAATCAAAGATTAAGGCAAGCCGGTAACTAATAAAACGTCTACGACCTAATGAAGGGTAGTCCAGTACACTAAGCTTCCGTTATGAGTGGAGCCCGGAAAAGGGCCGGACCACATGGGTCTATCATACGTAGCCTTACCCTGCATTTATGCAAGAGGTTGTTCCCACGGCTCGAACCCGTGACCTCCTATCTACGACCTAATGAGATGTATGTATATGGCTCACCTCAACCAAACATGTCCCACAAGTTCCTCCTCCTCCACAATTAAGCAAAGGTCTCGCCTTAATTAATTCATGAAAAAAAATAAACATATATAATTAATAAGAACGAGTGCAAAAGAATACAAGTACGAGGAAAAAAAACAGAATGAATGAAGTTTAGATGATATATAAATGTACATACATAAGGTCCATATAACTCCACATTAGCATCCAACATTATGTCTCTAAGTTTTTGACCACCACAAGCTTTGCGAAGCTGCACGTCTGGTGTCCCATCTGGTAGTAATACTGACTGAACAAAGAATACATATATATATATATATATATGTACCACCACTATTAATTAATTAATTAATTAATTAATACTCACTCAATAAGTATATATTTGTAATTTTTTTGGTTTCTCACCCGGTGTCCGGTATCCACATTGGGACCCGACTAAATCCGGATTCACGCCGGGAAGTCCCACATTGGGGGTAAAACGCTCCCTAACAAAGGCGACTCCATACCCAGGGGCTCGAACTCGAGACCTCTGATTAAGGATGAAGGAGTACTTACCACTCCACCACAACCCTTATTGGTTATATATTTGCATTCATTAGCAACACAAATACAAATTCTACTTAGTACGTAGTACTCACGCTGACAAATGCAAATTTCACAGAAGCAGCTTCTTCATCTTCCTGTGGTGCTACAACACTTGTCTTTTCTGGAACAGTACCAACTGCTCTGATTTTCGTTCTACCAAAACTCAGGCTCGGAGAAGCTATCTTCTTGTTTTTGAAAATAGACGATCGAGATACGGAAGCTAAGGCGCCAGAGGAGTATATTTCAATTGCCTTCATTTTTCTAATAATATTGATATGGATATTGAAAATAAAGGAGGAGTTGCACTTTTCCAGATACACTCTGGCTCAGCTAGTGGTACATTCATAAATCCCAAAGGATAGGGAAACCATGTGTATTTTCTTTTTTTATGTAAAATGTTGCGGGTGGCTCTCCTTTATCTTATCCATTGGTGAAGTCTGAAATGGAAAGCCCAAATTTGGACTACAAACCTCCCAGCTAGAAGGATGAAAATTGGACGGGCAACCAGTTTTCAGACTGGTAATTTAAAAATAGCTAGCGTTTGCATTAAAAAATAGCTACTCCCTTCGTTCCAGTTTATGTGAACTTATTTCCTTTTTGGTCCGTTCTAAAAAAGAATGACCTCTTTCTAAACTTGGAAACAATTTAGCTTAAACTTCCAATTCTATCCTTAATGAGAAGATTTTATAACCACACAAATATTATGGACCCCTTTTTGACTTGTTTAGGACCATAAATTTAAAAAGTCTTCATTTTTTCTTAAACTCTGTGCCTAGTCAAATAAGTTCACATAAATTGAAATGGAAGGAGTACTATTTTGCCGCAACAGGGATTGGTCCAACATAATATACTGGAGATCGGTGCACCTGTGTATGAACTTCCAGCATATTATATTGGAACTCTAACACGCGAAAAGTTCCAGCATAATATATTGGAGATTGGGACACTTGTGTATGAACTTCCAGCATATTATACTGGACCGGTATATTATACTGGAACTCCAGTATAATATGCTGGAATTCCAGTATACTTATGCTGAAACTCCAGTATATTATGCTGGAGTATTTTCTGAATTTTAAACAGTATTTTTGTTCAGATTTATCTTTATAGAAAAAGTGACTAAATTTCAATTATTTTTAAAATTGTGACTATTTTTAAATGATCACTTATAAATTTGGCTATTTATTAATTTCTCCCCGACTAGAAGGCTGCCACGGGCTACCCATTCAAATTTGAGAAATGACGTAGGAGTCAGAAAAATTCCAAATTAAACATGTTGGTTTTATTTGATTTGTCCTTCTAGAAGATCTGTTGCATAATCCAATCATCCAATATACTCCTACTAGTAGGCATAGTATCTTCGGCCAGTGCAATGAATGATGAATCACCCTCTTTAAACTACTCCCTCAATTTACTTTTACTTCAGCATATTTTAACTTTTCACGTTCCTTAAAAAATAATAAATGAAGTATATAATTTATCATGACACTCATATTAATTGAACGAATATCAGGTATAATATACTGGAAGTTCATACACAAATGCTCCAATCTCCCGTAAAAATAAAAAAAAAATTTAGTATATATGCCAAATAAAAGTGAACGGATGGAGTATTTCTTTTCCTAATTACAACATTTCTCACTTTGATCGTCCCGCAAACGACAAAAGAACACCTAATAAAGACAAAATTAACAGAGCAACTTAGAGGGATTTAGGGGCTGTCAATTTCTGCTAATTAAGTTGTTCTGTGTAATACGGAGTAATTACAGCTTTGCCAATAATAGTTATTGGCATTCTTGTAAAATGAATTCTTGTCATCATCGTTTTCACTGCATAAAAGAATATAATTTTAAATACGTAAAATGTTTCGAGTCTTTTGCTTAGTAATAGTAGTAGTTAGTTTAAACAAGAATCGCCAAACAATATACACGATACTTTTCGTGTAAATATTTTGTTGTTAAAATGTATACAAATATTTGGGGACTTACATGTTTTCGTCATCATGTTTAAACTCTAACTATTTTTATTCGTTTTTTTAATAATCTAATAAAGTGAAACCAGGACATTCAAATTATATTTTCCATTTTGTTTAATTTAGTAACTAACTAGATAGTCAACAACATTTTTCTTAATCGTGATCTTCTTTATTTCTCCTTGTTTATTTCCTTTAAGTTTAGAAATGAGTTTATTCAATCAAAATGTAATGACATCGGTTCGTTAGAAGAAATGTATCAGTTTTGAAATTTATGTTTGTTAAATTTAAATAAAAATAAACTTGTAACACATTAAAATGCTTCCTTATTATACAATGTGAGCGGTCAGTATTTGTCTTCAATCGTCTATAATCTAAGGCCTTGTTTTTTTTTTTTTTAAAATTAAAACGTCTGAATCTGAATACACATCTGAATATCAAAATGTGTATTAAGATTAAGACATCTGAATTTGAATACACATCTGAATATATTAAGATATGTATTAAGATCTGAATACTAAATAATTAAGATTGTTTGATTTTTAACATCTGAATGTATAAAATTTATCTTTATTTGAAAATTAATAAACATAAAATTCAAATGAAATACTAATTAATCTAATATTCTATCAATAAAATATATAGGTTTTTAAAATATGATAGTTGGTGGTGGTGATAGCTAACGGGTGAATGTTGACTAGAGACGGTGGTTGGTGGTAGTTTTGGTTGATGGTGGTGGTTCATGCTAGTAGCTAGTAGTGATTGGTAGTGGTGTCGATTATGATTGAGGATAGTGGTAGTGGGTGGTGATAGTTAATAATGACGGGTGGTGGTAGTAGTTGCGACTGAGGAAGGTGGTGGGTGGGTGGTGGTAGATTATAATAATGGGCGGTATCGACTTTGGTTGTTAATGGTGATGTGATGGTCAGTTGTGGTAGTTGAGGTGGATGAGTGTTGATTGTGGGTGAGAATGATGGTGGTCGAAGTGGTGGGGGATAGTGGGTGGTGATGGTCGATAATGATGGCGGTTATTATTGAGGATGATGGTGGCATGGTGGTGCTGGAGGTGGTGGTTGTGGGGGTAGTGGTGGTAGTTGAGTAAGATGGTCGTGGCGGCATAGTGGTAGTTGATAATGGTAGGCGATGGCGGCAGTTAATAATGAATATGTTATATTATTTTAATGAAATTAAGTTTCTGTTATATATCTTAATCATACAGATATATTCAGACATATTAAGTGATTCTGAAGTAAAAAAAACAAACACACTTAATGATTAAGATCTGAATATTTAAGATTCAAACTTTAAAATCAAACGTGCTTAATATTTGAGGTCTGAATTATTAAGATTCGGATCTCCGATAAGTGCAAACAAATGAAGCCCGAAAAGCATCTAGAATGAATAGTAAATAATTAAATTAAATTCAAAGGAATAATGATGTGCTTTTCCTCTATTTGTTGATAGGGGAAAGCTTTTGTTTTAAGCTTCCCTTTTCTGACCAGTTGTCTCCGTATACGAAGTGATGGGCTTCCTCTTCCATGCCATTGAATTGCCGAAATTCATGACTGCGGCATTCTTGGTTAGCGTTTGGTGCCATCTCAAATGCATGGTCATTGTTGCCCTCACTCGCCTTGGTCTCTACAAACCTCCTCCTGAAGACGACGACGCCGATTCCAATAGCTATAACCCCAACAGTTACATTCTCCTATTAGACGGCACTTGCCCTTCCCTCGTCACCGTTCCAATCGAGGTCGCCACCGCCGCCGTCAAGCTCAAAGTTCCCGTACTCCTCTACCGCGATTACCTCCTCCTCCGCCGCCGTGGAAACGAATTGGTAAAGGGATGTTCGATCTGCCTTGAATCCATGGAGCTGGAGGATGAGGTCAGAGAACTCATCACCTGCACCCATGTCTTCCACCGAGGATGTCTTGATACTTGGGTGAACGATGGACACGTCACCTGTCCCTTGTGCAGATCTATGTTGCTTCCACCTAAGTTAAGTTCTTTCCGATGTTGTCGAAATCCCGATACTCCGCCGCCGCTGTCGGAGTTGGCCGATCCCCCATTGATTTCTAGTTCTAGTTAGTTGACTGTCGTTCGTTGGATTTTGTCTCACATGCATCTACGGCGGACGATGCTCGTCAGCTTGTGTTTCTACTGTACTTATATTCGTAACAAAAGAACTTGGTTATGTACGCATCATATGAAAAGTATTCTGGCCAGTATATCTGTTCGTTCCGTTATAATGTATATAACTTGTTTGATCGGTTGAAGACTTTTGGAATTTATATTTCTAAACAAGTGAAAAGTAAACCCAGTATATTTGTGTGGTTATAAAAGTTTATCATTAAGGATAGAATTGTAAGTTTAAGCTAAATTATTATCAAATTTAGAAAGGGGTCATTCTTTTTAATCGTACAAAAAAAAAAGGTTCACGTAACTTGAACAAAGGGAGTAACTCTTTATGTTAAACTAGTATTACTACCCGCGCGATGCGCTGACAAATCATTTCAAATTGTGATATATGTTGTTTGAATCATGTACAAATAACCTTAAAATATATATATCTCAGATAAAAATTATATAACATGAGAATTTAATTATGAAGCAGGATATGAAATTATTGATCAAATCTCGTAGTAGACAACCAATCTTTTTAACATATATTTGTACAAATAACCTTAAAATATATATATCTCAGATAAAAATTATATAACATGAGAATTTAATTATGAAGCAGGATATGAAATTATTGATCAAATCTCGTAGTAGACAACCAATCTTTTTAACATATATTTGTACAAATAACCTTAAAATATATATATCTCAAATAAAAATTATATAACATGAGAATTTAGTTATGAAGCAGGATATGAAATTATTGATCAAATCTCGTAGTAGTCAACCAATCTTTTTAACATATATTTGTAGCAACCTAACCCCTTGATTTTAGTACTTGCATTTCGTTTTGTTGTCGATATTAAAGAATACTAAACATGTCATATTGTGATTTGTCTTGTTCGAGCACATTAGATCATATTATTTTAACAAAATTCTTACAATCACTTTATTTTTATCAGGAAGTCGAATATGTCTTATTCATCACATCATTTTTACGTAAATTCTTTTTTTTTGTTCTTTTCTTATAGTTATTGTATTATTTAATATTTCATATTATTATTCCATTATATAACTTTTTGTTAGCTTATAATTAAATTAATGTCTTGCTTATTATCCTTTTAATAGTATGTGATAAAAATAAATATTTTATTCTCGAAATTTGATATATTTTTATGCTTTTATCCTATTATTCATAATATTTTAATCATTTAAATTTGTCAGTAATATTTTTAAATATAATTAATTATTTTATTTTATCTATATTAAAATTAATTTAAAGTATAAGTATTCTCACACTACCTCTATTTTCTTTTTAATATACATTCTCTTTCCTACTTTAAATGTTAATTAGTTTTATATTAATATTTTACTTATAACCAAAATAATGTCATATTTTGTTTTAAATTGTAACTTTTGATTAGTCTAAAATATTAATACATAACTTATTTGATTATCATGTTCCAAACGTATTGAGTTCTCTTATAATTAATATTTTCAAAAAAAAAAAACTCATCTCAAATTCAAATAATTCTTATCATTTTATTTTCTAAACTGGACCGCATTTTCAAATAATTATGCTATGCATTCAAACTCAAACTAAATGCACTCGATTCAGATATTAATCACAGAAAATATTTTCTTAATTGTTTGAACATATTATATCTAAATGTTGTAGTGATATTTTCACTGTCATTTTACTTCTTTACATTGTAGTGATATTTTCATTGTAGTGATTATCATGTTCCAAACGTATTGAGTTCTCTTATAATTAATATTTTCAAAAAAAAAAACTCATCTCAAATTCAAATAATTCTTATCATTTTATTTTCTAAACTGGACCGTATTTTCAAATAATTATGCTATGCATTCAAACTCAAACTAAATGCACTCGATTCAGATATTAATCACAGAAAATATTTTCTTAATTGTTTGAACATATTATATCTAAATGTTGTAGTTATATTTTCACTGTCATTTTACTTCTTTACATAATTTTTTTTCTTTTTTAGTTTTAAGATACAAATTTAATTTTTGTAAATTACCTATATTAGAAATTTATTTTATAATTTATAATTTATTTTTATTATTATTTTATTTTTCATAAATAAGACTTCAATTTCGTGGTATTATTCATAATTTGAGCATTCGCATCGTAGTTTTAAGAACTTTCTAATAAAAAAATTCAAACAATCTTTTCTTTTCATTTCTACTAGTAAATTTCTAATAAGTTAACATAATTTTCCTATTTTTTTAATCTAATATATAGTCTTATTACGTTTTATGTGGCTTTTCATTAACTCAAAACTTTATTTAATATCACTCTCAACTACTTTTCTTTAATAATATAAGATAAATATATAAATTTTTTAATTATAAAATAAATATTTATTTTGTTTCAAAAATATTGCTCGAAAATTTTAAATTATTTAAAATTTAATAATATTTTAAGTATTGTATATTTACTTTATTTTATTTTCTAAACTGATGATTTATAAATGTCCTTACATTATCTCTAATTTATTTTTATTGTTCAATATTTTTAGTTTTTTATTTTACTATTAGACTTGAGTTATGTAGACTTATATTATGACTTTTCTTATCATAATATAAAAACTTTCTCATCTCAAATTTAAATAAGTTTTACACTTTTTCCTATGATAAAAAATCATAGTTTTTTTCTATTTATTCTTTATTATTGATTTTATATTATTCAATACCTAATATATTAGCCTGTTTGAATTTAATATCTATTTTTACCACACTCATTCTAATATAATATAGATAAAAATTAAAATACTTTCTCATCTCAAATTCAAATAATTTTTATCATTCTATTTTCTTAATTGGACCATATTTTCAAAAAAATTATGGTATGCTTTCAAACTTAAACTAACTAAACTCAATTCAAATATTAATTATAGAAAAAAAATTTCTTAATTGTTTGAACACATTATATCTAAATGTTGCAGTAATATTTACGTATAAAATATTCGTTTGCACGATTTATCAATATTAATATGAATTTATTTTTCTTGTTATTAAAATATCTTTTGTTGATTATTTAATTTGTCTCTTACCTTATAATTAATTTGTTTACTCGATGGAAGATCTTATTTTGCTGCTTGAATTAATTTAGTTTTTAAACTCAATAAATCTTTAATCTCTTAAGTAATTTTTAGTTTTGTTTTATATTTTAACTTACTCCAAAGTATAAATAGTTATAGGTTATCTCAATTTACGTCTTTATATAT